AGTGCCCTCTCAAACCTTTCATCAAACACTTCACCCACACTCTCCATTTTCTTCCATTCCACCTTATTCCTTCTCTAAATCACGCATCACCCTTGAAGGACTTGATCCTTGGAGTAGGTGTCCTCTCCCTTGCTCATCATCTCAAGTTCATGCAAGCTAGGATGCCATCAAATATTGTATTTTTATCTCTGTAGACTAAGGTGGTTAAGGTGTCATTGGTGAACTAAACCTTAGTGAGTGTTGTAAACCCTTGTATCCTCTCCATGAGAGTAACCCAAACATTCAAGCTTGAGTCTCTGTAAAACTAAGGTAACAAACCTTAGTGAGTGTAGATCATATATGTATCCTCTTAGTGAGAGTAACCCGAAACACTCAAACCCGACTATACTTTTGTCAATATTGTAAAGCCTGAAGAGGCTAGGAAAAGAATACTTATAAAGCCTACAGGGGCTTGTCAAAGAATAATCACTACTAGCCAGAAGTGGCTGATAAGAAAATACTAGCGTTGGTGAGTGAAGTTGACGGGCCAGGAGTGGTCAAGAATACTTGGAGAACCAGAAGTGGTTTAAGAATACTAGCGTTGGTGAGTGAAGTTGACGGGCCAGGAGTGGTCAAGAACACTTGAACCAGAAGTGGTTGAGAATACTAGCACTGGTGAGTGAAGCTGGCGAGCCAAGAGTGGTCGAGAATACTTGGGCCAGGAGTGGTCGAGAATACTCAGGTCCAGGAGTAGACGATAATACTCAATGTACTTCATTTTATATCTAGTGGAACCCTTCAAGTTGAAGGAGACTGGACGTAGCTCAGTTGAGTGAACCAGTATAAAATGATTGCATTCCTTTACCCACTTAGACGAAAATCTTTTTTTTATGAAACCTTTGTGAAAGACTTCGTCCAATGTTCATATATATTTAAAACAACTTTTAGACGAAGACGCTAACTTTGCTTGATAAACTTATTACACTGAAAGTTTATCTGCTACTTATTCTTAAACGAAACTATCTTGAAAAGGAAAATGTAAGACCTTCAACTAATATTTTTACGAGACATTTTCCCTAGTGGACGATAAACCTTTCAGACGCATTGATTGTTCGTTAATCAAGCTCTATACAATCGTCTGATAATCAAAAGTGCAGTGGACGAAAAACACTACTCTTTCAAAAAAATGTTTTAAAATATTTTTTGTCACACACACACATATTCAACCTCCCTTCTATGTATTTTTCCGCTAACCTCAATTGGTATTAGAGCTTGACCCCTTGGGTTGAGCATCTAACAATGCAGGGGAATACAACGATCCATTTAAGAACAAAGGACAAAGGAGTGCTGAAGAGACAAGAAGACGAACATCTAGTATAGGTAAATCTAGTATCGAAACTTTCGCCTCAATTGTGCATAATATTTACATTGTGAGTATAACAACTATAGCAAGACACTACGTTAGTCATCACTCTAAATGAGTAAGAAACCATTAGGTCTAAAAATCACCACTCAATGCCACTCTATTTTACATAATCATCTGAGTTCTGGATTGGTAAACTTTATCTACTGTACCCCAAACAGATAATAATCATCATTGGAAGGCATGTTTGTCATGCATAATCAAACGTTCCAATTATTAATAGATATGCTTGTCAATCAATAGGCAGCATGACCGTCACTCTTGCATCTGTAGGAAAAGATGACCCCCTTATCCCCAATTAAATGCAGGCGCACGTTACTCTGCACGAGGAGATAAATAAGTGCCACGTAATGTATATATTTTAAAAAAATTAAGAATCTCAAGGCTTTCTCCGACTATAAAATCCCATAGAGCTTTTAGAAATCACAACACAAGTCATACCCTAGAACTTCAAAAGCTCTCCTAGATTTCCTATACTCCACTCTCTCCCAAATGATCGACATCCATTACAATGGATGAACGTAGCAACCCTGCTAAAACACACAAAGCCATAACTTGCATTTATACCTTCACCTCGAGGGAAAAGCCAGAAAAGTATCTGGAGCGTTACCTAATATCAACCAAATGGAGGAAAGTGGGATACTCTGGTGTATCCACACTAGAGGTGTCATTCACACTAACTTGGTGTTGATGCACTATGTCCTCTCGAATGCTCCTCAAAGATTCATAGAAGGAATGGTGTTCGGTACACACCAACCTTCTCAAAGATTCCCTTGGCTATTTTCAGCCACCACCCTACCATTTCCACCTTGAGAGAAACAACCCTAGAAGTGGCCTTCATCACCATGAAGTGAGCCAACCCTAGAGTACCCTCCTCAAGCCTTTCATCAAACACCTTCTACCCAACCTCCAATTCGCCCATTCCATCCACATCCTCCCTAAATCCATGTGTCACTTTTGATGAACTTGGTCCAAGGAGTAAAGGTTTCCTTCCTTGATCATCAACTCACATCCATGCAAGCAAGGATGTCATCAATAACATTAAGGAATTGTATGAGCATGATAAAGATTTTCAATCCACTTATGTTCAATGCCTTAAGAAACCTTTTGATGGGTTCTATGTTTCTGAGGAGTTTAATCCAACCTTGAAATAGTAAGGCTACTTGCTAAAATTGGACACAAATGCTTATAAAAATCACCTAGGACATATAAAAAATAAAGCAAAGGCCACCAGACTCGTAACATACGACAATTTTCCCCTCAACAATGTTTAGCATGGTTAGTAGATAAATAATATACAAAGTTTGATTTTATGGACATGTACTCACAAAAAAGATACATTATTGAAAGAAGCAAAACTCACTTTAATAATTTCTTCGTCTCACATATGACTACTTGCCACATACATTTTCACAAGTTAACAAAGAAAGACGTATATGGTCTCATGGAGTTTTCGAGCTCACCATTGTCATCCACCGACATCAAAATTTAATGCAATACATTAGCATTGTAAGTTACTCTTCTTTGGAAAGATCTTCGTATACTTCTATATTTATGACTGATTTGCTTATTTATTTTTTACTATAAGATTGAATGGATCACGATGGAATAGATGCTTGACATACAATTTGTAGGAAAATCCAACACTAAAATAGTAAGGTTGTTTGCTAAAATTTGACACAAATGCTTGTATAAATCACCTAGGAAAGGCCCCTCTATAGGTGAGGTTTCACATATTATATAATAAATAAAGCCAAGGCCACCAGGCTCATGACATGAAAATTTGTCATTCAACAAGGTTTAACATATTTAGTAGATAAATAATAAACAAGTTTGATTCTACGGACATGTACACAAAAAAACAAAAAACCTTTATTGAAAGAAGTAAAACTCACTTCAATAATTTCTCTGTCTCAAAAATATTAGTCTCTAACTATCAAGCAAAAAACATCTCTAATTGTAGAAAAATAAATAAATAAATAACTTGTCATTTGCAAGCAATAACTCTTGTCAAACTGAGTTTATTAGAAGAATTATGGGTTGAACCAATACTATAAAAAAATGGACCAATCATCAAATCGATCAAAGTACAGAAAGGATTAGTGAGTCAAGGGTCGAACTAGTAAATCACTAATTGAATCACATGATCCGATTTTTATTAATTTTTCTTATAAAATAGTTCATATATATATATATATATATATATATATATATATTAATTAACTTGAACTAATTATGAACTCGTTACAATTTCCTCACATGAAATGCTTACCCTTTTTAAATATTTTTTCTTGGAATAAATACAAAAGAATAATTTAGAAGTAAAAAAAAAAAATAAAGATATTACTTATATATATGTATATTTTTTGTATCACAATTTAAATAATTTATAATAAATAAATAAAATATATAATTTATATGATAAAAATATTTAATTATTTATTAAAAATATTTAATTATAATATAATTTATTTATTAAAAACATTAATTTATTATTAAATTTTAATTACATAAATAAAAAATTTATCCTATAGGCTAA